TTTGCAGGCCAGAAGGGAGTGGCAAGAAATATTCAAAGTGATGAATACCAAGAACCTACAACCAAGACTACTTTACCCAGCAAAGCTATCATTCAGAATTGAAGGCCAGATAAAGAGCTTCACAGATAAGAAAAAGCTAAAGGAGTTCATCACCACCAAACCAGTATTATATGAAATGCTGAAAGGTATCCTTTAAGAAGAGGAAGAAGAAGAAAAAGGTAAAGATACAAATTACGAACAACAAATACATATCTATCAACAAGTGAATCTAAAAATCAAGTGAATAAATAATCTGATGAACAGTATGAACTGGTGATTGTAATAGAATCAGGGACATAGAAAGGGAATGGACTGACTATTCTTGGGGGGGGAAGGGATGTGGGGGGTGAGGGAAGAGATTGGACAATAATCGTGCACCTATGGATTAGGACAGTGGGTGGGGAGTGAGGGCGGTGGGTGGGGTGGGAACTGGGTGGAGGGGAGTTATGGTGGGAAAAAAGAGTAACTAATGTAATAATCTGAACAATAAAGATTTAATTTAAAAAAAATATTGTCCTCAGAAAAAGCTTGAAAACCAATGCTGTGGGTGGTATAGATTCACTTCTGCGTTTATTCAGATAAACTTGTGTTTTTGAAAACAGTACTAGACCTGCCTACAGATCTTTCTGCCCTAATAGTCTGTAAATTCTTTAAGGCCAGGAACTGTTTCTTTTTCATGGTGTTTGGAATTGTTTGGGCTTGATAAAATAAATGCTTGTTTAGTGAATTCAAGGGAACTCATAGAGAAGAACAAAGAGGAAGGAAGGTACTTTTAAGAACACACATTTAGGGACAGGGAGAAACCAATGTATAGGGATAGTTAAGAACAGTTTTACAGACATTAAGGAAAAAGGAAATGTGTTTGTTATCTTCCAGAAGACAGAGTATTATGTTTGGCTTTATGCCTAAAGATTATGCTTATGTATTTTGGAGTCAGACAGCAGGAATTAGTCACATCCAGGCTCTGCCTCTTACTAGCTGTATGATACTGGCATGTTACTTGACTTTCTAAAAACCTAGTGTTCATATTTATACCAGGTGTACCGATTAATGCGGATTTTTTTCAATAGATGGAGTTACACATATGTTGATATATATGTGATTTGATATGTATGCTATTTTGTTGTATTGGCAGCAAGCTTCAAAACTTCATATGTCAAATTTGCTGAATGTGTTAACATCATAGATATTTTTAGGCTTAAAAATGTCAAATTTCATGCCAAAAAAAAGAGCATTTGCGGGAAGTTTTAATTCATTACTTTATTTTGAAGAAAAGTGCTGCTGAAAGTTATCATATACTTCGGGAAGCTTATGATGAACATGCTCCATCTCAAGATACTTGTGAACCCTGGTTTAAATGCTTTAAAAGTGATGATTTCGATGTGAAAGACAAAGAACGGTCCAGGTCAACCGAAAAACAATTAAAAGCATTATTGGATGAAGATGCATGTCAAACTCAAAAATAACTTGCAGAAAAATTAAACGTTGCTCAGCAAACAATTTCCAATTGTTTACAAGCAATGGGAAATATTTCAAAGGAAGGAAAATGGGTGCCACATCAACTGAACGAAAGACAAATGGGAAACTGAAAAGTCATCAGTAAAATGTTGCTTCAACGGCACTAAAGAAAGTCTTTTTGCATCGAATTGTGACTGGCAATGAAAAGTGGATTTATTTTGAGAATCCCAAATGCACAGAATCGTGGGTTGATCCAGGTCAACCATCAACAAAGCTCTGTGTTTGGTGGGATCAGGAAGGTGTTAGTGTATTATGAGCTTCTAAAACCAGGTGAAACCGTTAATACTGATCGCTACTGACAACAAATAATCAATTTGAACCATACTTTGATCGTGAAACGACCAGAATGTTCCAGAAGACATGGCAAAATAATTTTGCTTCATGATGATGCACCATCACACACTTCAAAACCAGTTAAAGACACGTTAAAAGATTTTGCCTGGGAAGTATTAACCCACCCGCTGTATTCACCAGACCTTGCTCCTTCAGATTACCACTTGTTCCAATCGATGGCACACACGCTTTCTGAGCAGCACTTCAAAACATACGAAGATGTGGAAAATTAGGTCTCTGAATGGTTTGTCTCAAAACAAGAAAAGTTCTATTGGGACGGTATCCACAAATTACCTGAAAGATGGGGGAAATGTGTAGCTAGCGATGGACATTACTTTGAATAAAGCACTTTTGATGTTTCTCTTGAAATTATCGTGTTTTCTTTGATTACAAAATCCGCATTATTAACCAGTACACCTGGTAAAATGGGATGATGCTATTTGGTGAATTACAAGGTTGATGACCTTGAGAATGGGTTTTCAGGATTGTGGGATTAAAAGGTAGATTATAAGAGCTTAATTTTACTATATTTTTAATCCTAACAAACATAGAAGCTTAGTAAGAAAGTGACATTGAGACATGTAAAGAAATATTTTTATAGAAATGAAATACATTTTCTTGAGAGAGTCTTACAGTTATATTTTTTAAAATCACATTGGGCCGAAACTGGTTTGGCTCAGTGGATAGAGCGTCGGCCTGTGGACTGAAGGGTCCCAGGTTCGATTCCGGTCAAGGGCATGTGCCTTGGTTGCGGGCACATCCCCAGTGGGAGGTGTGCAGGAGGCAGCTGATCGATGTTTCTCTCTCATCGATGTTTCTAACTCTCTATCCCTCTCCCTTCCTCTCTGTAAAAAATCAATAAAATATATTAAAAAAAAAAAGATAAATTAAAATCACATTGGGAGTGGTATACAAAAGTATAAACCTGTTAAATCAAAATTGGACTTGCTTATTGAAAACATATTTCTCAAAATGTTGGCTATATTTTGTTAAAGTAATCTGGTAAAATGCTTTTAAACATGTTTAGCAATTCATTTTTTAAAATATGTTAATTTCTAAAATAAGTCTACATCTTGATTCCAATTTTTTCTTAGGAAAACTGCATAAGTGTAAGTTATTTATGCTGATTTTTTAACTTCTTTTATAAGACTCGCCTGAAAAAACTACGCTGGCTGCAAAATTATCTGCCAAGAAACAGGCATTCCTATACAGAGATGAAAATGATGATTTTCAAGTAGAGAAGAAAAGAATTCGATCCTTAGAAACTACACAGCAGGTAAACAGTTTATTGGTAGTGAAATAATCCCATTAGTTATAGCTGAACAAGGCTGTCAGATATCAATCTAGTTTTCAGTGTCACTTGTGGAGATTAGTGCGGTCACAGATGTAAAGTAAATGGTAAATTGTTGTAATTGAATTTTAGCTAGTTACTCATTACAATGGAGTTTATTATAAAAGACTAGAGGCCTGGTGCACGAATTCGTGCATCAGAGGGGTCCCTTGGCCTGGCCTGCAGGATCAGGCCGAAACTGGCTCTCCAATATTCCCCAAGAGGTCCCGGATTGCAAGAGGGCGCAGGCCAGGCCAAGGGACCGCACCAGTGCTCGATCGGGGCTGGGAAGGGACTGTGGGAGGGCTCCAGGTTGTGTCCGGCTCGTCTCGCTCAGTCCCAATTGGCCAGACCCCAGCAGCAAGCTAACCTACTGGTTGGAGCATCTGCCCCCCTGGTGGTCAGTGTACATCATAGTGAGCAGTTGAGCTGCCTTAGCATATCATTAGCATATTACACTTTGATTGGTTGAAAGGACAAGTGGACACTTAGCATATTAGGTTTTTATTATATAGGGTTACTTACAATCAATGTCATTAAAGTGAAACTGCATGATGCTTACTTATATATGAGGTATTTGATAATAAAATATTTACTTAGGGCATATATTAATAATAGAGCTACTTTGTACGTTTTAACTCCTCTGTTGTTTTTATCTAATAATGGCATATTTTTTGTCCAAAATTCCTTTTATATGAATATTTATATCATGGATACTTTTGGTATTGGTAGTTTTAATATATTTACAAGGTTTACTCTTATTTACTGAGTTTTTAATATCAATACAGGATAAAATTTTTCTAAAAATTATTGAAAGGCCTAAATTACTAGATAATTTAAATGACAGTACTTTTCATAGATGAATACCATGTTTTCTCATAGAGTTTATGGCAGTGAGATGGGGAGGCTGGGACTTTTAATAGCCTTAATTACAAATAAAAAGGGTATTATTTAATCAGCATGTCATTTGCACGTAATTGAATATTTTTAATTGAATATATTAAAAAAGTTTTTGCATTCTTATGTAGTTTATTTTACTTACCATCTTTAACTTTCATAATTAAACCATTTTTAGAAATAGAATGAACTACCTTATTTTTAGAAAAACACCAATTACAAATGAAGTGTGAATCTTTAGAAAATTCCCCCTCCCCCTCAAAAATGTGTACATAGAGTTGGATGTTGTGAGGTAGGACTCAACATATAACACTTATCCTTGACTTTTTTGGGTCTCATTTCTTTTTTGGTAGGAATGGGATCATGAATAGAAATGCCCCTCTCCCTTTTATAATTTAAGTAAATAGGGTTTTGGCAAGTAGAAAAAAAGGATAGACTGGAAAGCAAACTTAGTGGTATTTATGAAAGAAATTTAGTCAGATACAACTTAGATTATCAACTATCTAGTAAAAGTAATAGTAACAAAGCAATTCTGTCATGTAGGACATTATGAATATCTACATTTAAATTATTTTGAGTTTTAATTTCCAATGAGGTTTCCACTTTATTTGCTTTTTTACTTTCCAGTTAGATATGTAATTTGGACTTTGCTATAATACTATACTTGGTGTCCATATGGTAGAACTATTTTATGAGAAGGTAATTTTTCAGTACTATAGTTTTGACATATCACTAATTAAAGCTATTTTGGTTAGGATTAAGGAGGTATTACTATATTTTATTTTACTTAGGTCTTGTAATAAGGTGCCTGTTTGTGTTTTTAAAAATTATTTGATTATCGTCAATTAGAAATAGTCATTTTTTAAATGCTGAAAACAAACATAGCTATTTGGACCTTAGGGGACAACTAACCTGCTCAAACTTTTTTTTTCCTTTTTATTGACTTTATTGGGGCGACTCTGGTTAACAAAATTATACAGGTTTCAGGTGTACAGTTCCACAATACAACATCTGTACACTATTGTTGGTTCACCACCCCAAGTCAAGTCTTCTTTCATCACCTTTTATCCCCCCACCCTTCCAGCCTGCTCAAACGTTTACTTTATTTTAAACTTTATTTTGGTCCTGTGTTTACAGATTAGAAAACGGCATTGTTTTGAAAAGGAAGTACACCATTTTGATACAAAAGTTGCTTCAGGAAAGACCACAAAACTCAACTCTCCATTAAGAAAGATAAACTCCTTTTCTCCACAAAATGTATGTATTTATGCCATTGTTTAGTTTAAAGAAGGAGAATGTGGAATTTGTTAAATCCATGTTTGAAAAAGGAAGAATAGTATAATGCAAAGAAAAGTAGAAAGCCACTCAGAAGTTCTAAGTGCTATCACATCTCTGCTACTAATGTATGAGATAGTAAATCCTATCCTCTCTGTGCTCCCTTTTCATCATTTGTAAAATGTAAGAATGGGACTAGAAAGAGATCTGAACGTTTTTTGCCTCGTCAATATTCTTATGTTTGTGAACTCCACTTCCCTAAAGTTCTTTCAGTGTCCTTAGAGTATCAATTCTCAAGAAGTAGTGGTTGGGCAGCATAATAGTACTGTGTGTATACTAGTATACTCATCCATCCACAATTCAGCTGTCCGCTTGGTGTTCCTGAGAGGACAGTGGGTGTCAGGGAGGGGCTATCTCACTGTCCCCCATCCCAGGCTCTGGCTTCCTTTGCAGGGCATGGCAGCAGAGTCAGAGTTCTCTGGGTTAGAGGGAAGGCGCATCATCAGATCATGGAGCTCTGGAGATTCTTTTTTTTTTTTTTTTAAATATATTTTATTGATTTTTTACAGAGAGGAAGGGAGAGGGATAGAGAGTTAGAAACATCAATGAGAGAGAAACATTGACCAGCTGCCTCCTGCACACCCCCCACTGGGGATGTGCCCGCAACCAAGGTACATGCCCTTGACCAGAATCGAACCCAGGACCCTTCAGTCCGCAGGCCGACGCTCTATCCACTGAGCCAAACCGGTCAGGGCTGGAGATTCTTAAGATGTTTTTCAGGTGCTCTGTGAGGCCAAAAGTATTTTCACAGTAATATTAAGATGTTATTTGCTCTTAATTTTTTTTTTTTTTACTGTCTTGACATTTACACTGATGCAGAAGCAATGCTGGGTAAAGCTATTGGTGACTTAGCACAATAAGATAGTGGCACCAACCTGTACTAATAGTATTTTTCTTCATCATTAATATACAATTTTTTAAAAAGCCAGTTTTACTTAAGAATGCCCTTGATGAAGCACTAAAAATTACTGTTTATCAAATCTCAGTGCTTGAGATTTTTAACATTCTGTGTGAAGAAAGGAGTGGTGCTCACTTTTGCCTACAGGAATACAATGATTGTCTTGAGGAAGAACACTGGTGGTAGGATAGTTTGGATTGTGAGCTGAACTAGCCACTTTTTTTACGGAACATCATTTTTACTTGAAAGAATGACTGACAGACTATGGGATTTTTCTTCTTTATTTTAATAGCTACAGTGATTTAAAAAAAATTTATTACTCTTTTTCTGCTCTTTATTTTCAAATTTTCTTTTTAAAAAATCATTTTTATTTTTCAATTACAATTGACATACAACACTATATTAGTTTTAGGTGTACAACCCAGTGATTAGACATTTATATAATTTATGAAGTGTTCACCCTGATAAATCTAGTATCCATTTCACACTATACAGGGACTGTTCTTTCCTCATTGTATAATATTTCTTAATCTTTAACAGAGTGGCATATTATAAACCACAAAAATTTTTTCTGTTAATTCTGGAATAGGTGATTTCATAAAGAAGTAGAAGAAAACTGTTTCATAAGATTTAATATTTATTGTATTACAGCTTCTGAAATTAGTTTATCACCAAAATTCTTAAAGTAATTTAAAAAATGCATTCTGTATTTTGGAACTTTTCTTATGTTGACAGTTTATATGACTCAGATTTTATGTATTAGATTTTAATCTATCATATAAAGATCTTTTTAAAAATATATATATTTTATTGATTTTTTTACAGAGAGAAAGGGAGAGGGATAGAGACTTAGAAACATTGATGAGAGAGAAACATCAATCAGCTGCCTCCTGCACACTCCCTACTGGGGATGTGCCCGCAACAAAGATACATGCCCTTGACCAGAATCGAACCTGGGACCCTTTAGTCCGCAGGCTGACGCTTTATCCACTGAGCCAAACCGGTTAGGGCGTATCATATAAAGATCTTAAATAAGGTAATTTGAGGGACTTGTACAAGTACCATTTCTTTTTAGGACCTGTTCCTTCAAATGGGAGGAAAAGGATGGTGGGACTAGATTTAGTATACCTATATTTCATTTAGATCTAACAGCTCTAAATTCTAAGGATGCTTTTCCTATTTTGATTCCTATAAGATGCTATTAGGGAGGGTGGTATTTATTTTTTAAAGGAATGGTTATTTGGATTAATAAATAATGGTTTCATTCGCTTATCCCTACAAAGATATAAATGTTGTAGTCTTCATACATTTGAAATCTGCAGTTGTATTATTTTTTTAAACATTCCTTCATAAATTAAATGACTTTTGTCTTCCACTAAATTTGACATTAAAACTTTTTAGGTTTTTCTTTCAAATTTTCTCAGTTTTTAGTAAAATAATTTGGTTCCCATCCTGTGGATTGGAGAATTGGATAGTTATCTTTTTACCTTCCTATCATTTCCAGTCTCCTCATTGTCTCTTCAATTCAGAAAATGGTGTCAATACCTCCTCTCTTATTTGAATTACCTTCCATGGTCACTGGAATGGACATTTAGTTTCCTTTTTTGACTGCTAATTTATATGTTGAAGAACTAGTCTCCATGTGGTCAAATATAGTTAAGAAAAACATTGTTTTTAAAAGTAGAACATTACCATTCTGATATTACTTTGTTCCACTATTTATAATCATTTTCTCTAGAATTTATTTGTATTGTTTCCATTCCTTTAGCAAATCCTCACAATGGGGGAGGTATTTTTACAGATACATTATTTTGCTTTTATTTGTTTGTTTATTAAATAAATGCTAACATTGTCTATATTCCTTTACAAAAGTGATACTTTTTTATTTTGTGGAGTGGTAGCATGTATTATTTTAATTTATTACTTTCGCCTAGTGTGTAGAAAAGACATAGGTCCAGCAGAGAGCGCTGTTGACCTTCAGATAAAGTATTGTTGGGCAAAACCTTGGACTTTTATTTTTCCTTTTTCATCTTAATTCCTGCCTTTTCTTTTTTTCTGTCTCTGTCTTTGACTCTATCTTTGTCTCTGTCTTTCTCTTCCACATTTTCTGATTCCCTTTCTTTCTCTTTCCCTCCCTCCCTCTCTTCAACATTTGGCATGTTCTCTAGGATCTCAGGAGAAAATGACCAATTTTCTCTGAAAAGTATTTTACAAATCATTTTCTCATAGTTTTAATTTACTTTTATTTAACATAACTGCTTATGTAGTGATATGATGTTTACTATGTGCCAGAAACTCTTCTAAGCACTGTAGAAATATTAGTTTGCCTGATAAATACAGATTCATGTGAGTTAAAAGTTAGTATAAGGTCTTTTAACTTTTCTGTGAATTTGACAGTTTTCAAAATAAGACAAAAGAGTTTAATTCAAATTTTATATTAACTCTATGAAAAATGTCTTAATATATTCCCCAATGGCAGATGAAGAAATTAAGGCACAGAACATTTAAATAGGTTGTTTATGTCACAAAACTGATGAGTAGAGGCTGGTTTAAAATAAAACCCAGGCCATCAGCTTTAGAATTGATCCTCTCAACAACCTCACTATTCTGCCTCTGAATAAACTCTTTCAGATGACATTTGGGGAAAAGGTAGTTCATTTTTGTACAGTTACAGGTCATATTATATGCAATACCATATAGACAATTCTTTTAACTTAGTCCTCTTTTCAGTCTCCCAACATCCTGCTCTTTTCTTTACAATGTTTACAAAGTTTATATATTTATTTGTAGGTTTAATTGTTTAGTTTGCCTCCTTGCCAGCATGTCCATAAGGACAAATATGATGTCTTTCTTGTTCATGTTTTTATAACCAGTATCTTGCACAGGACCTGTATCTAGTAGTCTTACATGTTTGTTGAATAAATGAATGAAAAAAAAATGGCCAAAGTTAAAGATGTGCACAACTTGCCACTATTGTGGCTTACAGATTTTACTCAGATCCATATACTTAAGGAGGGGTGACCGTGCTATTAAATAGAGGCAACTTAAAGCAGGTTTTAAAATGTTTTCTTTTTCTTCTATGGTTCATTTTGGTTGTAGCATACAAAAATAAAAGATCAAACAATGATTTCAGGGACCAACAGGCAAATTGGTGCTTAATATAAACAAAAGATTAGAAATAACTTTCGATTTCTGTAGCTACTCTCAGAACAAGTTGTTAAATAATATTACCAACTAGTTGAAGTATAATATATTCAAGGCAGACAAATTTTTGAACCAATTATATGCGAGACACTTAAGTAGATACATGGAACAGACTGACAGCTGTCAGTGGGTACAGGAGGACAGGGTGAGAGAAGGTGAAGGGATTAGCCCAAGAACATATATACATAACCCATAGACACAGACAGCAGTGTGGTGATGTCCAGAGAGAAGCGGGGCTGGGTGGAGGTGAGCAAAGGGGGAGAAAATGGGGATATCTATATTAGTGTCAACAATAAAAATAAAGTAAAAAAAACACCAGTAACCTGTATTTCACAAAGTTATCTTTATATATAAAAGGCTAAGTGACTGACTGACCGGCTGGTATATATGACCCACACTGGCAATTTAAAAATAAATGTTGACTTGTGCATGCGTGATACATATAAAGCTCTCGCTGGCGCCAATCACACGTGTGTTTCGATCTGTCATTGTCGATCGTGAATTTGGAATGCCATAGATTACTAAGAGAAATTATTAATTTGAATGTTGCATTTGGTGGGAAAGTTCTTCTCAGAGGAGATTTTCAACAATGTCTCAGTGTTGTGCTGCATGCTATGCGATCAGCCATAGTACAAATGAATTTTTAAAAAAATATATTTTATTGATTTTTTACAGAGAGGAAGGGAGAGGGATAGAGAGTTAGAAACATCGATGAGAGAGAAATATCGATCAGCTGCCTCCTGCACACCCCCTACTGGGGATGTGCCTGCAACCAAGGTACATGCCCTTGTCCGGAATCGAACCCGGGACCCTTCAGTCC